GTGGTTCAGCGATCTGATTGATATAAGATATTCCAATATAAATGGGCAAGATATCTACATAAGAATGGCTTCATCAGAACTAGGTATGGAATCGTCTTGCTGTTTAAAACAAAGTTTGAAAGAAAAATAAAAGCCACCAAGAAAAAAAGAAGAAAGAAATCTTCCAACAGTGACATGATTAGAAACAAGATAGAGCCAGAAGCCTTATGACATTATTAGAAAAATATTTCTTTAGAATTGTATCAGAAACTAGCATTAATGGTTCGTTGGATGATTAAAAGTAAAGATTTTCTTCTTTATGAATTTCTGACTCCTCAATCTTCTGCTTTCAAATACTTCATTCCTAGATCAAGGAGACAATACAAAGATCATAGTAACCAGTACTGTGTTGTCTACTGGACTGCTGATCCTGGGCCTAGCCCTGCTATTATATGTGAGGAAGAACCAGCCACAAAAATATGGTAAGCTATTTGATTTTGTACTCTTCTGCCCCTCCGTTTTCTAAGATAGGTAGGTTCAGTTCTATTCTATAGGGAATTTTTGCTGTTGCCTCTCTGTTTTCTAAGCTAAGGGTCCATGCTACATTATTTACTTCACTACATATTTCACAGGAAAACTGAAGCCCAGCCAAAAGGAAGATCTGCAATTACCATTATTTGACTTGGCCACTGTTGTTTGTTTGTGCAACCAATAACTTTTCAAACAACAATAAACTTGGAGAAGGTGGTTTCGGATCAGTCTTTAAGGTAAAATCAAATATAGTCCTCCCTACAGTTAGCTTGACAGTTTCCACATGTCATTTGGGTCAGGACTATGGATACAAGTCGTATATTGAACGTTTGCAAACAACATAGTATGGATTTTGGTCATCACATGTGGCTAATGGATTTCAGGGTACATTGAAAGATGGACAAGAAATAGCTGTGAAAAGGCTCTCAAAACATTCTAGACAAGGACTCAATGAGTTGAAGAATGAGGTTACACATGAAGAGAAACAGAGGATTTCAATTCATGTAGTTGTGAGATCAATTCATGTAGGTCTTTCAAGTGTGCAGCGTAACCTGGCAGATAGGCCAAGCATGCCAGCTGCAGTTGTAATGTAGAGTGGTGAAGAGTCATTGCCTCAAACTCAAAAACGTTGTTTTTATAACGAAAGGGATCTCAATGAACTGGAAGTTGATCCTTCTTCTAAAGCATTTTCAGCTAATGAAGTCATAGTCCTTTTACACTAATGGAGTCTCGATAAACTATATTTCATGTTGGTGTGTTAATCTGGTGCTTTTGAAGTCAGTTTGAAAAGTTGAATATAATTAAGAGATTCCCAACCCATACGTTAGCAAATGCACCCTCTATTTTTTTTATTTGTTTTCTTTGGAGTTGAGGTGGAGTTCACACTACAGAAACACAGATGCTGATACAAGAACAAATATAAAAGCTTAAATGAATTAGATTTTTCACTTGAGGTGGTGTAATATTTCAATTTTTTTTTTTCTGTTCTTTGGGTTGGTTTTGTGTTCCTATACAAGAGGAGGAGACAAATCTTTCCTTTTTTCTTTCTCTCAGCAAACAAGAGGGCATGATCAAATGTGAACATCTATAACAGAAATGCAATATCCAAAGAATGAAAAGCAGTCCAACCAAGAAGAACCATCCATTGATGAATATTGAATGCATAAAGATTTATCAAGTTTCAGGCAAGAAGAACCAAACCAATCAATCTATTGCTTAACCAAACCAGAAATAAATAGTCAGAATTTGAGATTGTGGTCTAAAAACCGAACCTTGTTGTTGGCAAGACCATAGAAACTCCATGATAGGATAGCTTCCATCATTTCCTTCCACTGAAGACAGACACCAAGTCAGCAAATTTTTTATTTTTTTTCTTCTGCGCCATGTCGTCAATGCAAAGAGAGAAGAGAATAAGGCGGAGTTGGCAGAGGGTGGCTAGGTTAATCGCAGTCAATCGCACTATTTGAAAAATCGGCCCAGGCGGGCGGCTAGGCGGCTAGGCGGTTGCTAGGCGGGAGCTAGGCGGCTAGGCGGTTGCTAGGCGGCTAGGCAGTAGCTAGGCGGTCGCTAGGCGGCTAGGTGGGTTGGGTCTTTTTTCGGTGCCGAACCCGGAGGACGAAGCACTGCGAGTGCAAGTTCCGTCATCTCCGAGAGAAAGCTTCGTGTTTGTTGGAATTAAATAAGGTATAGCCGTTCGGCTATATTGTTAAAATATTCGAATGTATTTAGAAAGTATAGCCGCGCGGCTATACGTTCGAAGTGATAAATTTCAGTGTAATCTATTAGACACACCTTCAAGACAAAAGAGAAAAGATGAACAGGATTAAGTTCTAAGAACTTGTGGCCAAACCTGCACACCACTCATTGCTTCAATGTACTCAGCGAGCCTCATTTTGTTAACCTTCTTAACCTACAACATAAGCAGATATACAACAGATTTAAATAATAATAATGCAAAAGAAGCCAAAAGCTTAAATATATTTTTGGTTCTTAATTCTGATTCCAATGGTAGATAGAAAATTCTTATAAGATCTCAACAAAGTGTTGTACATTAATAGAACTAGAAGAAGATGATATTCTGTTCCATTTGTCTCCCTTCCCCTCCAAATTCAATATTCCAGCTGTGAAGAAATTCTTAGAAATATTAATTATTGAAAGCCTCTCATGATCATGAGTACTGTAATAATTCCTAAAAGACTCGGTTATTATGTATGTGTGATAAAGATCCTCAAGAATGAAGAATGGGAGCTGATTTTCAAGCATCCACATGTCAGGCTGTACATACCCTGTTCTAATTGAATAGCGACTTTGCTGATAAGAGCTGATCTCAGTTTTTTAATTCGCTTTTGTTCCCTTCTTTTTTATCTTCTTCATATTATCGTATATGCGATTAAATAAAGAGGTATGTAGTGCACCGGTGATTTAAAAAAAAATTAAATTAATTAATATGCTGGGTGTATTGGTGTAGATAATTGAATTGTTGTAGAGTTTTTGTTTGTGTTTAGTATACTATTAGTGGATAGATTCCTATTGAGATAGATAGATAGTCCTTTTATTTTGAGTGGATTAAGAATAATAGATTGCTCAGTAAATTGGGATTAATTTACTGATTGCTTAGTATGTGATGAAATGGATTTACTCATGTATTTTCATTTGTTATGGGTGATGTTTCAGCAAGAAGAAGCTTATTTGAGGAGAGGAAATGGTCAACTACTTACTCTCGTTGTTGCTTAGTATCTTTTGCTTTCTATGGAGATGAAGTTGCTTAGATCTGGAGATTTGAAAGTTAGCGCATCTATTGAAATTGCTTGGTCTTTTTGTTTTGCTCTTTTGACGTTAGGTGCATAAGTTCATCAATCAAATGTTATGATTTTGTATTTGAAATTTCTATTGATTAATCCAATCACATGGAGTTTAATCCCTTCATTAATCGCGTTCTTGTTTGTTATCTATTTTATTCTTTTATACTGAGTTAGATGGCATTAGTTTTGTAAATTTTGAGTTTCAATAGGTAACAGGTACGGAATGAATGATTCAATCAACATGAGTTTTATTATTACCAAAAAAAAAAAAATAAAAAAAAAAATAAAATAAAATCCAATCATGGCATGTAGAATATAAGCGGTAATTGCTAATTTATAGTCTTCATTTACGATGATCAGTGCATGTCGTAATTGCTTACATTGAATTACGGCTCACTATGCAAGTCGTTTAAAGTAATTATAACAACGTTATATGCACGCCGTAAACCTTATTACGACGTGTTTTTCGTGGCATTATTTGCGACTAGAAAACATGTCGTTATTGAAGAACATTATTTACGACGCGGGCTTTTACTGCTTGCAGCCTTGCGTCGTGAATGATACTTTACGGCTTACTTTGTGCGTCGTAAATGATGTGTTCTAGTGTACTGATTTAATTCTTGAACCTCAAAGAAATTTAGGTAGGAAAACCTTTGGTGGGAAGGGAAAGTTAGGATAGATATAGAGGCAAAGGCAAGGGTGATGAACAATCGCGAGCACATGTGATATTACAGAAAATGTAGCGAAGGAATTTAGAATGGCCATTTTCCCAATTAAGCAAACATCTTATAATGAAATCAAGATAGGAACTTATAACAAGCCCTCATTAACAATGTCCAAAAACACAAGATGAACACCACACCACACTCAACAAACAGAATTGCTCATTAGTGTTGTAAATATAACAAAGATGAGATATCACTTTGTACAATCAAATAGTTCTACATTCCCCGTCGCCCAAATCATTGAACATCGCGCAAATCATTGAATATATCATCCCACATCTCATCCCACATCTCATCATCAAACGGGGTTTTTGCACTAAGAGGAACATGCACATCACAAAGAGGAAATTTAGAACCCTTGCAACCAAAAATGGGAACATGTCAAGATACATTAAAACTAAGTTTTTGTTCAAAGTACTAAACCCTTTCCCTTAAGATTGGCTTATGGCTTCAAGCTTCATCTTTGTGGTCAGCAGAAAGAATCATACGACATAAGAAAAGTAACAAATGGTAGCACAATTGGACAAAGAAACTACAATAAGTAACAACATACATATTTTTTAAGACATAACCTGGTTAAAGCTTATATAAAAAAGCCTCAATCTTGCAGAGCTTTATTCAGGCTAACTGTGTTGAAACTAAAATTTGAGAAACTCCACTCCGTTCCTCCACCTGATTCATGTACATTTGCAATGATAAGATACATGCAATTCAATCAAGTATTCATAAATCTGATTACCACTCCGTATCTCTCTGTGTTTTGTTCCTATTGGAAATTGAAACAATAGTTTGCTGGGTAGGAACAAATATAAAGAAAAAATTATAAATCCGATTACCTTTTCAATTTCTCATGCTCCTCCCCTCTTGGTCACCATCAATCTCAAAGACAATTTGTGAGCTTTTTAGTGTGAGATTGAAACTTAGGGTTACAATATGATATGAGAAAAGAGGGATGAGAGAAACTGAAAATAAAGGATATGAATTGAAGGGAGATAGGGAATATGATTGTGGATTATTAAGAGATCGGTGAATTAAATAGAGTTCCACGGAGAAATAACTAGGAGAGGGGCTGTTGCTCTTGCTGGATGCGTAGCGTAGGAAACGAAGAGCTTCTGGATGGGAAGAGGAATAGCCTTCCTCATTCAATTACATCGCTGACTGTTTTTTTAAAAAATATTTTTTTTAAAGTTTGACAATAATATATATAATATAATATAAAAAAAATTTGGGGCCCCCTTAATTGGAGGCCCATGGCCAAGGCCCTTCTTGCCTACCCCCAGGGCCGGCCCTGGATTCAGGATCCAAGGAACGGTGGTACACAAAGCATCAACAAGTTTTTGTAGCTTTGTACTTCTTTTGATCATACAGAAAATTTCACTTTCATCCTACAACTGCTTAAAAACCAAACCTTGTTATTGGCAATACCATAGAAACTCCAATGATAGGACAACTTCATCATTTCCTTCCACTGAACACAGACACCAAGTCAGCAAATTTGTATTTGTTCCTTCTGCTCCATGTCTTCAGTGGGAAGAGAGAAGAGAATAAGGCGGGAAACAGGGAGAGCAATTGAATTAGATGAATTAAGAGTCTCATGATCTGTTCTTCTATGGACCTAACTTGTGCTTCACTGCTTCGGCTTCCCAATCTCAAGCTCAAATTTGCAGCTAAATTTTTTCAATTTTGGGTTTAAGACTTTCAGTCAATCACAGTGTTTGAAAAATTGGCCTAGGTGGGCGGCTAGGAGGCTAGGTGGTCGCTAGGCGGGTTGGGCCTTTTTTTGATGCCGAACCCGGAGGACGAAGCAGTGACTGCGAGTGCAAGTTCCGTCCTCTGCGAGTGCAATGTTGGTAGGAATATATTTAAAAAGTATAGTCGGCTATACTCCACAGGATTCGTCCCGATTTCAGAGGAATTCGGGGCGGGTCCTGTCATGTAATAATTCCTAAAAGAGTCAGTTATTATGTATGTGTGATAGAGATCCTCAAGAATGAAGAATGGGAGCCGATTTTCAAGCATCCACACATGTTAGGCTGTACATTGATCGGTGCATATTTACATATCATTTTGTACCCTTCTAGCTTATGATTTGGTTATGTTTTTGAGTTAAACTTGTGCTTTTAATCCTTTTTGTGTTTATCTTTCAGTTCATTGAGCTTTAGGTAATAATGAGGGCTTTGGATAGTAAATGATGCAATCCATGCATGTTAGGGCCTAATTTGGATGAATGGATGAAGAGCTTAAAGACAAACTCAATTTTGGCTACAGTCCCCTGCCAGCCCAGTTTCGTAGGTCATATTGCAAGCTTTGTTTCAGCAACCTACATAGCTCGGATGAGGCCACATTCTTCATGAAAGTTGCTCCAATTGGTGTGTACTATAACATATCCAAAATTCAGCCCCATTGGATAAATATGGAGTCTGTTACCTAGCAAACACAGAGCCATACTTAATTCAGATTTTCAGCTTCCTTAGGCCTATATATAGTGAGGTTTCCCAAGCTTGTAAACACACC